AAAGTCAGTTCTTTTGAAAGGCAGTTCCTATTATCTTTCCATTTTGAGAAATTATTCTCAGTTGAATTGTATTACCATGGTGATGTGTTTGCATTTCAACAAAACCAAACCAGACTGTAAAGTAGAGCTCTGCACGTCTAGCTCCTGTCCTAGGACTTTTATTGCAGTATCCTTATTATTAAATAAAATCTCCTATGTTCCGGCTAAAAATCACAACAAAGAAGCAATTTCCTCGGCCAGACACAACAATCTGGATTGCTGATCTCAGAATTCGAAGAAATCACATAAAAGTGAAAAGGAGAACAGGCATTAGAGAGGTAAAAGTCAAATAAAGGACTCACCCACAAATGAATAGAAATATATACTTGTTCTCTAAAACAAGACTGCAGAAGTAAGCCAACACAGGAAGGGCGTTTTGCTTAATGAGAGTTGGACGTGTGGCTTAGTCCCCTGAGGTCTGAAACAAGTAAACCCTTTCAGGATTGTCAGCACATACCTCCCTGTCTCAAAGGAGAGCTCTTAGAGCTGGCTCTCCTGCTCTCTGTTTGTGAAGTTTGTTTTACTCTTTGGAATAATTGCACACGTAATTCTGACAACTAAATGCAAAGTCTACAGGAGGTAGGTTTTGAGTTCTTCGAAAATTCCTGCAGTTCGTGCCAATGGGAGGCAGGAAATCGTTTCGCATGATGCTATTTGCATAAGAAGGAAAGAACACATCATTTATTCTAATCAACAAAGTGTGAAAACAAGATCTGGACAGATGTGCACAACCATCCTATCACTCCTGCCCAAATATTGTATCAGTCCATCTTGTCCCAGATCACAATTTTGTTTGCCCAAGAATACATTAGCTCAGTCAGATCTGGGTTCTCACAAAGCTTTTTGCTAGCTGCTGGGCTTACTGGTAAATAAGCAGTGTGGTTTTGCTTAGCAACCCCTCCGTGGAAACACAGCACGCTTTGTAAGCGGTGGGGAGGTGGGGAGGCGGCTGGCTCGGGAAGCAAGGTATGTGCCTCTCAGGGTCTCTGCAGCTGGTCTCTGACATCGCAAACATTATCTTCAATCCTTAGTCTCGCAAGGCTGATGAAGAACTAGGGGGAAATTAATTGGAAGGCAAATATAAAGTGTTCAAGATTGTGAGCTGAGATTGTGTGAGAACTCAACCCAGAGTCAACACAGAAGAACCAAGAGAGAATGAGGACCTTTTTTCTCATTAAAAATGAGGTAATTATAGGAGATAATGTATCCAGGAAGCCCACAATGACTTCCTGAAGCTAAACAAAGATTATCTTAAGCCAGACATGAGGGAACATTCCTCAGTAGCTAAGGGCAGCATTAAATCTGGGACTGTCCACATCTAAGAAAAGATTTGAACTTGTACATCCAAGATAATCATTAACAGTCACTGAGCACTTAGCAGGCAGTGTGATCAGCTTTTGCACACTCATTTAATTTTCCAAAAAATCCTGTGAGGTGGGTTCTTTTACGTCCATTTTGTAAAGGAAGAAACTGATGTGTAGAAAGATTGACAAACTTGCTTGAGGTCACCCAGGTATATAGCAGTGGGGATGGGAGGTGTGCCAGGCAGTCTGCTCTTAGACCCCGAGTTCCTATCCACCGTTTTACAAGTGGTAGGGTGCAGTTACAGGGCTAATGGGGATTCAAAGTCCAAAGATCACTGGATGAGGTGTAAGGTAGTTTGTGGTTCCATCTTGAAAGCTGTGAAGCGTCCAATTAAGGCAACTGTTTTGTTTCATTTTAATGTCTGGAGGGCAGCAAAGGCATGGATATCCAGAGTAACATATATTGCTAAAACCTTACGTCCACACCTTGTCCTTTTTTAAAAAAGGTTTTTTAATGTTTTTACTTTTGAGAGAGACAGAGACAGAATGCGAGTGGGTTAGGGGCAGAGAGAGAGGGAGACACAGAATGTGAAGCAGGCTCCAGCCTCTGAGCTGTCAGCACAGAGCCTGATGTGGGGCTCGAACTCCCCAACTGTGAGATCATGACCTGAGCCAAAGTTGGGACGCTTAACTGACTGAGCCACCCAGTCGCCTCCACACCTCTTTCTAAAGTGAAGTATGGGTAGACAGCTTTTCATACACACACATGCGAGACACTTGACTTATGTCCCTAAAATACCCCAATGATTGACTTCTCCACGCATTCACTGAGCATCACTGTAGGATGTCTGGAAGCAGCAGCCCAGGAACACACGTGCTGGCTTGGGCAGTGAGCAGTGGTGAAATGTTTACCTTGCTGATAAACTCTGCAACAGATAATACATTTAAGACACCACTATTTAGCCTCTGTTACATACCTCCCTCTTTGCCACGAAACGAATCCTGTCCTGTGCCATCGTCCCTTCTGCCCACCTCTGAGAGCTGGGGAATGTCCCCCAGCTTTCACATACTTGCAGTCCTCCTTTGCCAACCTCAGCCTCATGTGGGTCGCAGTTGTGTCCCCACCCTAATTTATGACCTCACAAGTGTCTCACAAACATTTAGTTTACTTTACTTTTATTATGCGTTTGTGGAGGACAATTTATGGTGTGTGTGGCAGGGGGGGGGGAATGGTGTGTCCATTGCCAGCAATTAGATGAATTTAATGATTGATGGCGAAATCTCCTTTCGGGCTTTGGATTTTTATATATATCTATAAACAAAACTAGGCCAGTGATACATAAGTTCCTGGATTCTCAGAGGGACTCAACTGCTCTCACCCAGTCCTGCTATCATATCCAGTCTGGAAGTTTATGAAATGGGGAAGACATTCCCGTGGTTCTCAAGTGATTTATCTGGTCACAATACTTCCGTGCAAAAATACTTGGAATTTTCATTTGCAGTTTCAACAATATCAGTAAATTATCACTTTTTTTTTCCAGGTGGCTTTTCTGAGGAGATGAGGAGGGGACCATGTAAGAGCATGGATCAAATAATTTTTCCCTGTTCCCACTTTATACACTGAGTGCCCTCTTGGGAGTTAGAGCACATGACTACTTTTCATAAGGAAGGATTGTATTTCTTTGGGTCTTCTTGTGTGTTTTTAGGCAATATACTGATCCCAGAACGGGGGTGGAAATCGTGCTGACTTAGATTTGTGCCAAAATATGTTCTCCACTGTAACTGCTCTTACTGACTGCCCTGTGTCCTCCATTTTGCCGCGTTGAGCATACCTGGGACTGGGACCCCAGTCAGGTGGGGCTGAATGTTTCTGAGGCATGATTAGAGCGGACAGCAGCCTTTCCTCCTTTCAGCTTCCTCATCCCTGAAAATTTCCAGTGAACAAGCAACACCATCCTTTCTCCCTCAATTGGGGAGGAGGGGATGGAAGGAGGGGAAACCTAGTCATCTTCTTGACTGGCATTTCCATGGTTGACCCAAGTGGCTCATCTTAGAAGACACAATTGACTCTCTCTGTCCTGGGAAGATGTCACAGAGGTGTCACTGCTTATTACTGAAGGTTAGGAATTCCCGGACAGATCGCATAGTAACACTTTTTTATTCTCAGTCTTCCTTTCTAGAAGGGAAGCAGGATGGCCTGTTCTTCATGGGGGTTAGTCTGGTTGATTTTGTTATGAGGGGGTAGGTTGGAGGGGCGGGGCGGGGGGGACTCTGGCAACTTTGTTTGAGCTGGGAAATTGTTGAGTAACTTGAAGTCTGGTTCCATCAGTAGGCACTGGACTGGGAGTTAATTACATCAGAAGTCTAATCTTGGCTTTGCCTCTAATTAGCAAAATCATTTTATGCTGGTCCCTCAACCCCTCCTGGCTTCTGGTTTTGCGTCTATAAAATGAGGTGTATGAATGCAAAGGTCTCTCTGGGCTCTGAGGTTCTCTGCCTTCTAATTCACCAGAAGGCAATGAATAGGAAACAGAACACATGGTAAGGATTTCCTAGATCCAGTGCCCCACATGTGGTGTATTTTTGCAGAACATCAATCTAGGTGGTGTAGAAAGGCCCATTCATTCTGGTATTACATGGTTTTGGTTGGGTTATAGTGCTAGGGCCCCCTGATGACAATTGACATGCCAGTCCTGGGAGCTTTGAGAAGACCTTAAAGATTATTTAGTCCAGAGGCAATGCCAGTGTTGTCTTGAGTGCATTCAAGGGGAATACCAATGATGCTTCCAGTCTACCTCTGGACTCTGTTGGCACTGTTTCTTTGAGTGACGTCAGTCTAATACCCAATCTAAATGCTCTCACCTCCTGCTGGCTCCTTGAGAAGCTGATCTGAAATGAAGCTCCTGTCATTTTCGACAGTGACCCCATCATTCTGGCTTAGACTTTTGTCCGTCTTTGGTGGATAATACAGCCTAAACACGCCGTAGCACTAGCTCAAACACATGTGTTTTGAAAGAAAAGTATGTTATAAACGTACCACTTCAGCAGGGAAGGAGGGTGAAGAAGCTGGAGTGTGTCTCAAATGAGTATGGGGGTGGCTGTGTTTTCCTTGTCCTCTGAACATTTTAGTCTGTCTCAGGCCAGCTGTTTTTGTTTTTGTTTTTTTCCCCAACACGTTCCCTTTGATACAAGGGAAACTAGGTGCCAAGTCCATCACTGCCACTGTGGAAAGAGCTCCAAACCTGTGCCCTCCTAAAGGAGGGTCGATAATACGTGAGAAATGGCAGCAACCCCTTCTGGGGAATAATTATATTCGCACCAGTGAGGAAGTTAGAATCAGCATTTGGAACCACTTGAAGGACATTCAAGGCATGACTTAAGCAGGGTTTCTTGACCCACGGTCCATGGTTTCTTGACCCGGGGTCCATGAACAGCCTTCCTGGGGTCCAAGAGCCACCTATAGAGCATCTGAAAACTTCTGTCCGTGCATTTTTCTAGGAGAGGGTCCACAGCCTTCCTTCCTCTGGTTCTCCCAAAGTTGCCCATGACTGAAGAAAGGTGAAAAGCCACTGACATAATACATTTTTTTCTGTGCCTCTCTGTCCTCTGAATCCAGGGTGATAAAGCTGACCTATCTTTCTGCTTTGCTGTTCCCAGAAAAAGCAAGTGAGCCAGACCAAGATCCGGGTCATCTCAACCATCCTGTTCATCTTGGCCGGCTGTATTGTATTTGTGACGATCCCTGCTGTCATTTTCAAATATATCGAGGGGTGGACAGCCTTGGAGTCCATTTACTTTGTGGTGGTCACTCTCACCACAGTAGGCTTTGGTGATTTTGTGGCAGGTAAGCTCCCTGGGCATCCCAGTCACCAGGGCCCCCAGCGGGGAGAATATTCTGTTGACAGTGTTTTTTACAACCACCAGGGGGCGCCTGGGTGGCTCATTGGTTAAGTGTCTGACTTCCGGCTCAGGTCTCCCGCTCACAGTTCGGGAGTTTGAGCCCCGTGCCTGGCTCTGTGCTGACAGTGCAGAGCCTGGTGCCCGCTTCGAGATCTGTGTCTGCCTCTCTCTCTGCCCCTCCCCCGCCCCTCCCCCCCACTCAAAAACAAATAAACACTAAAAAAATTTTTTTAACCACCAGAAAAAACGTTATGGGAGAAGCAAATGGAAACATCTCAATGTCACTGCTGCTGTGCATGGACTCATTTCAAGCCCGTGGTCCCATGTAATATAAAAAGCCGCAGATTCTGCTGTGAAAAGAAAGCCGGCCCCTTCTTCCCCAGGATGTTCATTGCCCTTATCATCGTATGAATTATGCATGAGTGAAATGAATTTCTCATTGAATGTTAGACTTATGATTTGCATTAAAGCTCCTTGAATGAATTGATAAAGACTGTATTAGCAAGTGGCAAATAAGGAACTTTGGGGAGATTAGCATAGAGTTTAGCCTGCAGCCATCTGTGGGTTAGGCTTCCTGATGCTGCCCAGGGGAGGGCTGTGGTCCCCACAAAAGTTATCCTGGGCACAAAATTTAGGACTCAGCTGACTAGTAGAAGCCGAGACCCGTCCCAAGGGAGTAAAATTTAACGGATTCTGCATGAATGTATATTTTAGAAGCAATAGCCTTCATTGCGAAAGTCAATGCCAATGAACTATGTTTATAGAAGCAAAAGAAAACCACCATCAATTTCATCTGGGGACAGGGAATTTGAAAAGGAAATGAGATCTGGCTTCTTACATGTATGGCTTTCCCAGAGTGTGGTAGGAAGGCAAAGAGAGAGAAACTTCTGTGTTTCTGTGTTTCTCCTTCTGTGTCCTAACATAATTCTAGGGGGTCGGGCAATGCATCGTTGCCTACTCCAAGAAGTGAACGCTTTGATTAAACAACTCTGTCCTAGGCTCAACACGTTTGAGTGGTGTGTGTGTGTGTGTGTGTGTTATTCACCAGTTCCCGGTTAGGCAGCTGCGTAGACATTTGCAGGCTGAGATCATGGGCCTCCCATCCTTTATTTGACACATGATCCTGGCAGCACCTTGGTTTCCTCACAGAGTATGGTGCTCGCCAGGATGACAGGGATCTGGGAATCCGGAAAGCAGGACATTCTGGAGGGGATACTGAAGTCTTTTCAAAAGGTGCCTGGGTGCCTCCACATTCATTCCAGACTACTAGGGGTCTTCTAGCTGTTACAGCAGGGCAGATGAAGACTGCAGTCCAGTTTGTAAAAAATAGCAGTTTTTATATTTTTTTCTTCCTTTTTATTGCCTAAGGACAAAGCATTGCAAAGTCAAAGTGATTAAAAACTTTACAAACTTACAAAAGCCGGGGGTCTGGGTCCCCACCAGTCTTTCCTTATGCACAGTCACTGTGCGTCTCCTCGCCTTGGGTCAGGAGTCACTTCATGCCATCCGAGCAGAGGCCTGAAGCTCCGGAGAGAAACCACAGGGAACCCGTTGGGACGATTTCACAAACTTCTGTAAGTTCCCCCAGGGCATGGCTCGCACTGGTCTGTGCTTCCAGGTGCGCTCGGTGTTAGTCCTGGGCTGTCTGCTGGACTGTCTGTTATAGGACACCTGTGACGAACCTTCTCTCTAAACACCTGCTCGACTCAGCCTGTTAATCTGCTAATCTGGGGCACAAATAGCAGAGCCTTGGAATATAAAATTTAAAAATTTATTTACTTAGTGATCAGCAAAGTTTTAATTTGAATTTAGGTTATCCGTTTATTTGTTTGAAGTTTATTTTGAGACAGGGAGAGAGAGAGAGGGAGAGAGAGAGAGGGAGAGAGAGAGAGAACCCCAAGCAGGCTCCGCACTGTCAGTGAGGAGCCCGACGAGGGGCTTGAACTCATGAACTGTGAGATTATGACCTGAGCAGAAATCAGGAGTCAGACACTTAACCGTTAGAGCCACTCAGGCAACCCCCAGGTTATCTGTTTACATATAATTAATTATACAATGCAAGAAAATGCAGGGAAGCCTGACATTAAAAAAGAAGATGACATTTGACAATAACGTAATTGAATATCTTACATTTTACTGTTATAAGTTGTGATCTTGTAAAACCAAAACTATTATAATCTATTCACATTAGAGTCAATGTATAAATACCTACTATCTACTTTTGTTAATAGTATTGAATCAAGGCTTTCATGTTAATTGAAAGGTGAATATGAATCTGTAAAGTAATATGAATTCCATTTTACAAAACAGCACTGATTGACCGAAAAATAAAAAAGAAAATGAAATAAATGAGCCCCAGATTTAACGCACATGAATGTTCTCGGTTGGCCGGTGTGATGGGACTTTATTTAGAGCCTTGCTGCTTCAGTAAAAATGTCAGAAAGAGGTAGCTTTGATTTATTTAGATCCTAGATGAATACAGTTGGCCAACCTAAATGATTTTGCATATGTTGGTTCTAAGTAAAAAAGTTAAAGAGAACCCAGGAAAGAAAATGTGTGACTTGTTTAACATTATGATGTGTATATGGGTCCCTGCTCTTCATTGTGGATGGGAGAGAAGAAAGGTCATGCATGTTCTTTACCTTCTAACCCACAGTGACCGCCCTTATTAGGGAACACTGCCCAGCTGGTGTCTTTCCTCCCTGGAAGGAAGGGGAGGGAGGGGAGGAGCAAGGACAAAATGAGAGGGGCCTCTGGTGCTTCAAGGGGTCCTGCCACTGATTTTGATTTATTATTTCTTATTACCCACCACGGATTGAGAGCACTTAGCACATACCGGCACTTGACTTTATCTTTACTTACCTCACAAGGGCATGATGACCCCCACAGTCACAGGCCTGGCGCTGGTTTAATTCCCTTGTTTACTGTTGATTACAAAGCCTTATTTCTTTTGTTCTGAGGTCTCCACGGACAGGGTGTCTCTTATAATTCACATTGCTGACTGCGAGCGGACCAGGCCTTCCTAAATTTGGGTTTCCAGAACTTCTGTAGATTGTGGTCCAAAGATGCATGCCTTTAAGGCATGAAATTTGTCACAAGCTTAGCAACAGGGAACGAGGCCGGACCATTTCAAAACGGTGCATCAGCAAGAGTTGATAGTTGCTCTGAGTCAGCATCACTTCTAGAAATATAATCGGAACGTTGGTCATCATGCAGGATTAAATGCTGGCTTATTTTTATAGCCGACTTCCTTTGGGACAGCCTAACAACTTCGGAGCATTTCGAAACCCTCAATGGGAGCGCACACACGGAGCTCTGAATTCCAGACAAGCGGTTGAGAAAGGAATCCACCAAAGGGTGACTTTTGTGTTGTTTGCTAGCGCACCCTAGTGGCAGTCTTTGGCGGGCGGTGGTGATTTGCTGAGGTCAATATTTACCGTCGGCAAGCCCCTCCTCCCCCCGCCCCAGGCTCTGAGGACCGAGCTGCACGGTTCTCCCGCCCAGCGCGGAAAAGAACCTCAGAAACCACTTACTGTTGCAGGAACCCTAGAGAAAGCTATGGGGGAGGGGGGGGGGCGTTGCCTAAAAGGAAAAACAAAAAAAACAAAAAAAAAAAAACAAAGGCAGCTGAACCAGACCGAAGTGTGGTTGCCCCAGAGCCCGTTAGCGATGTTTGGAATCCTCATGTTAAGAAATGGCAGTGGCTGTGGAGATCTTGAGGCCTTGTGGGCTGCCCTGCACCCTGGGTTCGGTCCCACTGACAGGAGCCACAGGCCACAGGGCCTGCCCACGTGCCTTTGGGAGGTATTACTGAGACCATAAGAGCTTAGACTGGATTCCGTGGGGCTTGATGAGGTTGCAACCACCACTCAGTGGGAAAGACTAGTAATCACTCCTCGTTTAACACCTTAATTACCCATACATTGCTAATGTTCAGTTGCCTTAGAAATGGCCGCCTGGGGGCTCCCGGGCGGCTCAGTCGGTTAAGCGTCCGACTTCAGCTCAGGTCATGATCTCTCAGTGTGTGAGTTCGAGCCCCCGCATCGGGCTCTGTGCTGACAGCTCGGAGCCTAGAGCCTGCTTCAGACTCTGTGCCTCCCTCTCTCTCTGCCCCTCCCCTGCTCACACTCTGTCTCTCTCTCTTCCTTAAAAATAAATATTAAGGAAAAAAAAGTTTAGAAATGGCCGCCTGCCTGCCTCACTGGGCAACAATGTGTCACAGGGTGAGAGGCAGGCTGATAGCAGCCATGTCATGGAACTTCTTCACTTCTTCAGGAGACAGCGCTGAGGTTGGAGCCTATTTTACACGGCTACTTTTGGTAGGGCCTGTAGGAGGGTGAGAAGAAACAGGCTAATTATTTGCAATAAATGACTGGCCCTTTCAACGGAACAGCCGGTCAATGCCATCAGGCAGCTGGCCGATTTGGTTTGATAGATTTCTACCGTGATCCCTACATATAAAATAAAGGGATTGGACTCGCTGGCCTTTTAGCTGGAGCACGGTGATTCTAATTACTCAGACTGATTGACCTTTTGGATTAGCATTGTGTAAACACCATCCCTCAGTTAGTGTGAAATCACTACTGTGAGGATCAAAGTCTCAAGGATGCCATTAAGTCTAATTTTACTTCCTCACATCCACTCTGCTCTTAGTAAATGCGTGTGTTAAGGGGGAAATGGTTCCAAGCCATTTGGGATGATTGGTCCTTCATTTTTATTACATTAAAAAAAATTTTTTTAAGTGTTTATCTATTGTTGAGAGAGAGACAGAGTGTGAGCAGGGGAGGGGCAGAGAGAGAGGGAGACACAGGATCTGAAGCACGTTCCAGGCTCCGAGCTGTCAGCACAGAGCCCTATGCAGGGCTGGAACTCATGAACCTCAAGATCAAGACCTGAGCCGAAGTCGGACGCTTAACCCACTGAGCCACCCGGGCGTCCCTATTTTTATTACATTTAAAGGAGTTTATGAAAAAAAATTGATGGCTGGGCCTGAGCTGTTGTCCCTCTCGCTCATGTCTTTCATTGTCAAACCAAGGTTGAGAAGAAGTGGACCAAACTGGCCACTGACACGTTTCTGTTGTTATTTATTTTGAGAGACAGAGTGTGTGCACATGAGCAGGCGAGGGATAGAGAGAGAGGGAGAGAGAGAATCCAGGCAGGGGGCAGGCTGTCAGTGTGGAGCCCAATGCAGGCTCCATCTCACAGACTGTGAGACCATGACCTGAGCTGAAACCAAGAGTCGGACGCTTAGCCAACTGAGCCACCCAGGTGTCCCTGAAAAGTTTTTGTTATGGGTGTTACTGTTAGTGGTCAAGAATCAAAGAAAGTTGGGGCGCCTGGGTGGCTCAGTCAGTTGAGTGTCTGATTCTTCATTTTGGCTCAGGTCATGTTTCCAGAGTGGTGGGATTGAGCCCTCTCAGTCGCTCTCTCCGCTCTCTGCCCTGCTCACACATGTCCTCTCTCTCCCTCTAAAATATATGTGTATGAAAGGAAATTAAGCCACAGGCCAGGCTCCTTTAGGGAAGGGACAAATCTTTTCCTTGCCTGTCACCTCTTGTATACAGCAGGCCTAACAGCTGCGTGTCAGATGGTGATGGGAAGACATCTCTGCCATGTGGACCAGAATATGTTTGTTCTGCAAAGACCATATGCTAGGCCCTGGTTAAAATAACGTTTGGTTGTTTTCAGGGGGAAACGCTGGGATCAATTACCGGGAGTGGTATAAGCCCCTAGTGTGGTTTTGGATCCTTGTTGGCCTTGCCTACTTTGCAGCCGTCCTCAGTATGATCGGAGATTGGCTACGGGTTCTATCCAAAAAGACAAAAGAAGAGGTAGGACTCCTTCCAAATTCTATGAACGTTCCTGAGATCAGATTAGCTCATGTCAAGAATTACCTGTCTCTCTTCTATGGGCACAAGGGCTTCTTAAATAAACGGAGGGCCCCTGTGGCTTCCTCTTTTTGAAGCATTCCCTAAAAGCCAAGGTCAACGGAATAGCAGTTATTTCTGGATCCCTTTTCGGCAGGTGAGAACATCTGGTGACTCACCGGGCCAGAGATCCGGGAAAGACTAGTAAACGATGACTGCTTTTTAAAAAATGAAAAGGGAAAAAGGAAAAAAAAAACAAACAGCGATTGTCAGCAGGGGTAGGCTGTAGCTGAGGCTGGTGTGCAGACTGGAGGGAGAGGTTTAGAACGTTTTTAAAAAGCTTGAGAAAGATGGCCTGTCCTTCAGGTCTTGGGGTCTATATGGAAATGCAATAAAATACTATGAATCCTTCTTGGTTCCCTGAGACTGAAGTCCTTCAATAGTGGCCAGCCATGAGGAAGCAAACACAAGGGGTCCCTTTCACCATCATCCCCTCTCGGTTATCAGATCTATAGAAACAGACATACCCATGTGTCCAAGACACGCAGCCTTTACTCCCTCGTGTAAATGTGCATGAAAACAAAGGCAAGAAAAGACATAAGAGGAGAAGGTAGATTCTGTGGTTAAAAACAATGTCCATGTAGTTCTTCTAGGAAGAGAGGAAAAGATAAAGGCAGGCAAGAGAAGAAAGGAGCTAAAGAATGGAAGGGAGATAAGAAAGAAAAAGAGGAACAGCTTCTTTAAGGGCACCTGCTCACTTCCTAGAAGACAGACATTCTATACAGAAGGCCCCAGGAGAAAGTTACTGTGTGGGAATATTTCCTTTCCCATATCATTCCCGGGCCCAAGTGTTAAATTTTCCTGCCTTGCATAAACACTGTCAGTGTAGTCTTCAGTCTGATCCCCCAGAGAGCTAACTGACCTGCTGAAAATGAGCCATAGTGAAAGTAACCACATCAATATTGACTTTCCTAAATGCAAAAATGCAAACTTCTGAGTTAGTTGCTCATCCGTATAGAAAGACATGGGACTACTAGTCTCGGTGCTGCTGAATGAGAGCCGAGAAATTTGGTATTGATCCTCCTGCAAAAACTTCACTCTGGAGGAAGAACGTTCTGTGGGCTTTTGCAGAACATGACCAGGAAAGTTTGGTCACCAGGTGCTCTGGAGGGTCTTCTTAAACCAGAGTAAGCTCGACAGCACACGACCGTGTGGCCCAGATACAGGGTGAGCGACGGTCCCCAGGTTGTCCAGGACTGCAGAACACAGGACTCTGTGTTTTACAACCGGGACAGTCCTAGTCTAACTGGGACAGGTGGATCACCCTTCCCAGACAGGAGCACTGGGGAACAGAGAAGGGCCAAGGACCCCCTGAACATCTATCTGCTTTGCACCCCCTGGGTGCTTTCCTCCTGGGAATGTCTCTCTCTGTCTCACATAACGCCAAGAGCTCCGTGAGCTAGACATGATTACCCCACTTATGTTGGAGGGATGAGGCCATACAACTAACAAAGGGGTGGGTGCGTAACAGGAACCCAAGCCTGTCTACCTTCCAACAGTGATCTCTCCCGAAGAGAGCTCTGCCTCCCGTTCAGTCACCGCCTCCACATCTCAGGCTCCTGCCCGCGGCTTCTCTAGCAAGTGTAACTCCCTGATCCCCGCCTCCCTCCCCCTGGGCCTGTGCTCCCCCATCTCCCGGCCTCCCTTGAGCCAGCCTTCCCATCAGGACATCCAAGGGCTGTGGGCGCTGGGGGCGGGTGGGGGCTCGAGGCAGGCGGAGAGAGGACTTTCTCATCCTGTCGCTTTTCTGTCTCCCGGCCAGGTCGGTGAAATCAAGGCCCACGCGGCCGAGTGGAAGGCCAACGTGACGGCCGAGTTCCGGGAGACACGGCGGCGGCTCAGTGTGGAGATCCACGACAAGCTGCAGCGGGCGGCCACCATCCGCAGCATGGAGCGCCGGCGCCTGGGCCTGGACCAGAGGGCCCACTCGCTGGACATGCTGTCCCCCGAGAAGCGCTCCGTCTTCGCCGCCCTGGACACGGGCCGCTTCAAGGCCTCATCCCAGGAGAGCATCAACAACCGGCCCAACAACCTGCGCCTGAAGGGGTCGGAGCAGCTCAACAAACACGGGCAGGGCGCCTCAGAAGACAACATCATCAACAAGTTCGGGTCCACCTCCAAGCTCACCAAGAGGAAAAACAAGGACCTCAAAAAGACCTTGCCCGAGGACGTCCACAAAATCTACAAGACCTTCCGGAATTACTCCCTGGACGAAGAGAAGAAGGAGGAGGAGACGGAGAAGATGTGCAACTCGGACCACTCCAGCACGGCCATGCTGACTGAGTGCATCCAGCAGCAGGCCGGGATGGAGAACGGGCTGGTCCCCACGGACACCAGAGACCAGGAACTCGAGAACAACGCATTACTTGAAGAGAGAAACTAAATGCTGAGGACCTTGGACTTGACCAAGCGTCGTGTTTTTTATATTCACCCTGAGACACGTGCCTTAAACAGACTTCTCGTTAGTCCGAAATTACATAGCATCGAAGAATATATTTCACTGTGCCATAAACGACTGAGATGAGAAAGATCGCTCTGCCAAAAGGAGTCAAAGAACAAGGACTGCACTTCTGGCGGCGGCCGCAGGACACTGGGGGAGTGTTCGCACACGCAGGAGGTCGTGGCCGCAAATGTTAAGGGCGTGTCTGGGACGGTGCTTGCACGCCTGTGTGGTGCCACCCCAGCCCCAGCATGTAGAAAAGGGCAGCTATTCCTTAGACCAGCCTTCTGAAAGGAACAGATGTGTCTCCTAAGTGGAGTCTCATTTTCCGAACCTACTGTTAGAGATACGTGCACACACAGAAGGGGACCAGATGGGGGGTGAACGAGTACCTGCAGGGAGGGTCTGAGTTGGCATTTTGGCATGTTGCTCCGAGCTTGAGTTTTGATACAAACCCTTCAGGGCGCACCTACTCTTTCTAGGCTCCAAATGAGCGTCTGTGGGACCTGAGAGCACGTGGAATTTGTTGGCAACAGATCAGAGCACACGTATTCAAAGGTGCAATTGCTTTCCTCATTACAAAAGAAAAAAAGAATCACAAATGCATCACACTGTGGAATACCACCTTAACCAATGACAGAAGCCTACTGAACTTTGTGTTTTTGACGAACGATGAAAAAAGTGAACCCGCGAGCATCGGCGGACACTCGGCCTCATTTGCTGCATGGTTACGGGCACAACATCATGCATTTTCCTCAGTGGGTGCAGTGGTGAAAATAAACTGGTTCTGAAACGTTCACGTTCACTTTTCTAGTGGAACTTTGGTTATAAGTCGTTTTGATAAGAGGGGGAAAAATACCAAAACAATTGCCTTGCATGATGCCAGTGGCTTGCTGTTCTGTCTAGCTGATCCTAATTTTTTTTATAAAAATAGACATCCTGCATGTCTGAGACATACCAAGGAGGACCATGGCATCATTCCATCTCAGGGCTTTTTGTCCCTTTGGGTGTCTTAAGGTAGACATAGTGACGAGGTCCAGTCCTGCTATCTCCAAACGAAAGAAAGATTCCCCCAACAACTCTTGTACACGAAGATTGAATTGTTTTAAAATTGCCTGCAGCTTAAGTGCCATTAATGCCATTTACAAATAATGCTTAAAAGAAATATTTACAACATTCCACTTTTATGTTTGGGTGTTCCTTATTTTGAAAGCATCACTTCTTTTCCTTGCTTGTTTCTTTAGCCCACACCTGCTACTCACGAAAGTTGGAACCCCAGTGTGATCGATCGTTTCAAGGCAAACAATAGCAACACCTGATAATTGATTGTTCCATGAGGTTGAAATTGTGAAGGAAAGTGGGGGAGTGGCTAGTCATAGGTTTTGAGAAGATTCTGAATTGATGATTTTTTTTTTTTTAATCAGAAAGGGCAAAATATGTGCTAGGCTCACCATCCTTAGCCTTTTGCATAACTGGCTGGCCATTCACACTTAGCTACGTGGACCACACTCTGAAGCCTTTGGACTTGCAAACCCAGGAGGTTGCAGGTTATGGTCCTCCCAGGCTCAGCACCGCCTGTTGGGGGTTTCACACAATTCACACACAGAGTGGATTTAATCAAGAGATCACAGGACTAGTGGAGACTTCCCAAAACCATCTAATGCTTTCTGACTTCTGGGGAAAATTATATCCGCCACATCCTTGACCACTGGTACCAGGGCAGACCTCTTCCTGCCCGTCTCCCCAAAATGCCTGGACCACATGTAGCTCCCCTTCCCCCTGCCCCAAATTTTGGGCTCCAGTTAAAGTTCTGGCATTTCCTTTGGGAAGGAGCCAAAGCAGAATCACTTTCACGAGGCCCTTCCTGTCCAACGGTAAATTTGGTTTAATGCCTCCACTTGGCTGGAGCTGTGGCTCACTGGTGACATCCTGTGTCCACACATTAAGAGACACAGGAAACGACGCTTATGCAGGTGTGGGCGTTGGATCTTACAGGGAGAGTCCTTCAAGCCTGCAAAATGTGTTTTCATTGGTGGATAACTGGGACTTTCTTATTCCAACAAGTTAAAACCTCCTGATTATCTATCGATCCACCCTGTATTACTTGTCACCTTCTTTATAGTAATGTGTTAAAAATTCTAGACCCTACGGACAAATCTGGCGAAGAGGCTTCCCTGTCATTTATCCAGTGGTTTCCGTGGGCCAGGCACTAGATTTAGGCACTTTATGGGCGTTAAATGCTCGCTGAAACCTCACAGGAACACTGTACTAGAAGTGGTTATAAACCCACTATACAGATGAGGACACGGGAGCTCAGGGAAGCTAAGTAATTTACCCAATGGCACACAGCAAGAAGGTGGTAGAGCTGGTATTCAAAGGCTGTCTGACCAAAGTCTGCTTTTGACTTTGCTAAAGCATCCATGTTATGCATTCTTGTGTGTGTGTGTGTGTGTGTGTGTGTGTGCATGTGTGTCTTTCTAGTTTCATGGACATGGCATACAGAGGTGGGGAGAAGATCTCCGTTACCAAGAGGGCACAAGGTCTTTGCGGAAACATGACCTCGCGGGTTACCCTTGCAGTTACGTAAACATTATTTTGGTTTGGGTTTTGGGAAGGCTGTATGCGGCACACTTTCTGTATTGTTAAAACTGCCCTTTGAAAGCACTCTTTTGCACTTTACTTGCTTAGTTTGCAGGAACTCCGTATACAGCAGGAATAAAACAATTCAAAGCACTAAACTAAGCTGCACATTCTACCAAATGGAACAGGTGTTGGTGTGTGCTTCCCCAAATGAGTCAAATCACAGTAAATACAGAGGGATCCAAAACAGCCCTTGGCTGAGAGTGGGAAAATCTCCAATATAACCTGTTCCCTGAGTACGGGGGGGACAAAGCCCCAAGGAATATAATCAAAGAAGAGCCCTCCCTCTGTGGAGATTGATCCATTAAATATGCAGTGTTGGACAAACTATAACATACTCTCCAAAGGAGATGCTGAGAGGGAATAAGAGCTTGGACTCTGCTTAGTGTGTACAAGCTAAGATCTGGGGGGAGGCTAGTTGTGAAGCTGTTTGAATGTCACCCTTGTAAGATGGGGCCAAATAGCATGTAGCAAGACTGCTACAAATTCTAAACACACGTCAGCACAGCCCTGCCCTTCCAGCCTGCGCTCCACCCCCTGCCCACATAAACCTGGAATAAATGCCTCAATTTTGCACACAGGAAGAACACATGTTCCATATCTTCAGTGGGTGGTGACTTTCGCTTCACCTGGTAACTGGGTACCAATTTTTTCTTCCCTAACAGATCTGGAGGTTTACTGTTGACAGCTGAGGGACGGTTTGGAGACTAGAGCTCCATACCAACTCCTCACCCAATAGCAAACTCTAAGAACTTAGTGCTTTTGGGGTAGGGCCCTAATGTGTGTGTAGGTAGGGGTATTCCTGGCCTACAGGTGGGGTGACTGGGACTCTTGGTCTGCGCTCCCCTGTCCCAGCCTGTGATGGTGGGCAACTGAGTCCTTGCGCATCCAACTTTGTTACCTCATCAGCACATCGAGGGAATTGAACACACAAAATCATCGAGGTCCCTTTTAGTTCTGCAGCATTCTGACCAAGCATCCCCTGGTCCACGAGTTTGTTAAATTTATTAAGAACCATATTAGCTGGGTTTGTAAATACCGACTAATGGGCCCCTTCATCTTAGGCTAAGAGAAGAGCTTAGTCTCCTGCCCTTTGGGATTTGTTTTCTGGGTAATTGATGGAGACCAGATGTATTTGGGAGCCTGGTGTCCAAATTAGAATCATGCCCTGTGTAGGCTCACTCTATCCTCCCTTACAGCAGGCTGTCACCCGGAGGGCTCAGGCGATGCGGACATTTTTTGCATGGCGTTAAGATTATTTAAAGAATTTTAAGCTGTTGCTATTTGCAGTCAAATGTAGTAAAAGTTCCCTTTGATTTGATTACTTCATGAATTCATATACGATACACAGGTCTCTCTCTCTCTCTCTCTCTCTCTCTCACACACACACACACACACACACTGGAAATGGCTGCCTTGGGTTCTATGGGGGACCGTTCCATGTTGAAAGTCCTAATTGCACTAGACATTAGCAAACCACCTCCTTCCTCCCTCTGAGAGGAGGACTTCCTGGCTGAGTCAATGCCGCTCATCTATTTGTGTGCTTGGTTTTGGGGATTAGTGAGAATGTAGCCAGAATTTGGGTGAGGCAGATTTATACTCATTGGATTGGGTAAGAATGGAGACCATCCAATGTATACCATGGTTTCTGAACCATAGGAAAGGCATAAGAAAATAAAACAAACGTGCAGAGACTCTCTAAAAAAAATGAGGAAGAAACCAGTATTGCATTTCTTGTCTTTGCTTTCCATATCCCGCTGATGTTTCAAATGGAGGTTATTTCTGTGATGATGCACCTATGTGCAAAGACAGTGGCTGTGTCAGCAGAGAGAACTTTCATCAGTATAGTTAGTGTAAGAGCTAGTTAGCAATGGTCTTAAAAAATAAAAATGGGGACTCTCTGAAACAAAGGTGACTTTAATTTGGCATTGTCGATGCTGTATTCTGCATATGGAAACTTTGGGATAGCATGTTGAGGACATGGCTTATAAACAAAGCCCTGCACTCTTTGCGCGATAAACCACCTGTGTTTTTCTTCACCAACTTGCCCGCAGTCCATGTAAACTTCAGTCCTCCTGTGGCAGTCCCTAGGTCACATGACATCAGCGCAGTGGCATTGAGGAGAAATAAGAAGTGTCTCTGATTTTACTGAAAGTGATTATCATTTTCACAGGTGCCTAAGATTTGAAATCTACCTTCTGTTCTTGGTTCTTAAGTGAAAAATCTCTCATAGTTCCCTGTGCATTAAAAGAAAAAGCCCTTGAGAGGACTCTGCTCCATCAAAACAGCAGACCTGTGCTGCA